AATAATAATAATAATAATTCAAAAAAGAGATGGCAAACACTTAAAAATCAAAATCAAAAATAAAAAAAGTGATAAAACATAAATTAAAACATTGAAATCAGTTCGAAGTGTGAGATTAAAAAAAGTAACACAACAACCGTCCATCCCCTTCTTCGTTCACCGCCAAGCATCTTTAAGTTAATTCATCGAAAAAACACCAATCAAAACGCCAAGTATTCAAAGAACTCACTGCTATTGCTCAACCATCCCGACAACGGGAATGATTTGGAGTTTTGATTGTTGAACATTACAAAGTCTATCCTTTATCAAGTCTTTACGAAATCCCACCACAGAGGTCTGGCCACTAGGGGCTGGACTTTATAACATAAATCCACATGAAGTAAGTTTTTGCTCGTCACTCCCACCAATAATCTTATCCCTATCTTCCACGAGTAAATATGATCCCTCCAATTTATGTTGGCCAACAAGCTAGGACGTACACCATGTTCAGCAGATTAAAAATCCAATCTTTAAAGTTCAAAATCAAGAATAATTTCATCAAATGATGATATGAAACACATACACATCAATTCAAATTATTTTGAAGCTAGTATATTCAAATCCAAATGCCAATAACAGTTTAATTCCATCCAAATTCATATCACTAAAATAGCTAGTTTAAAAACAAAGAAATACATCCGCTTCAATTACACAAAATTTACCCAAGTAAATTTATTTCTCCCAAGCAATTCATTGTTCAATCTTTGATATCATAGACCCTGAAATATAAAAAAATAAAGCAAATTCCTAAAAAATATAACTCCATAAAAATGCCCAACATATTATACCAACACATTCGAAATCTGTGGTTGAGAGTTGAAGAGGAGACGATGGAGATGGATTGGGGATTTGAGTCGGATGAGGTTTCTCGAAGAGGAAATCACAGTTCTTGAGGAGTTGGGGAAGGTTTCGGGTCTTGGGATTTTTCTCTTCGGAAATTCACCTCTCTGATTTGGGATTTCTATTTTGGGTGTGTTTAGGTTTTGATGTTTTGGAAGTAATCTATACGGTAATAATAGTTTCAATTAGTTTTAGAGTATTAATCTAATATTTAAATTTTTTGAGGTAGTTGGCCTAATTTCCCCTCACTAAAATACCCAACAATCTCTATAACACAACACAAAATTACTGTGATGAAATTGTATACATTCAAGAGGAAGAATTGGAGTTAAAAATTAGGGTTATGCTACATGTACATAATTGTTTACATAATCTTTTACACACCACTCACATTAGGAGGTGGGGACCACGAGCCACCATTTTTAAAAACACATGGGGCCCGTGCCCCATGTGAGGGGAGGGGGGGGGGGGGNGGGGGGGGGGGGGGGGGACACCATTCGGTCATCCCCCTCGGTACAAGTGGATAAACCCTAAAAATTAATGTGTTTCAAGAATATTTTCCTATAATTTATTGTTTTTTTGATTCTTAATTACTTATTTTTGTGCTAGGCAAATAGAGCATCTGAGCATTTCCCAGTGGCAATTCCAGTGGAAGAAATCTACAAGCAAGCTGCAGCAGAGATAATGCGATGGGTTAATGCCTGATTGGCAGATGAAAATTTCAAGGAAGACAGATGGAAGTGATCAAATTTTCCTATCTTTATTTTTAGTATAGAATTATATAGTAATTAAACTTTTTCAGTTGCAAAGATTTTATTCCATGCTTTCTTTTAAAGTTGTATTGGTACAAACATTTATAATGTTGTACCAGGCATTATTATGTTAATTAGCATCCATGCAGTAGTTATAAATTATAATTCTCTCTTTGTTTGAATTAAATTATTATCTTTAATTTCATGAAATTATGTTTTTAAATTTCCAAAATATTACAATTCTCTGAAGTTATTATTTTCAATATTATAGCATTTTATGCTAGAATAAATTTGAATTCTCAAAACATTTTTATTAATATTCAAGATATATACATGTGCAAGCTAGATAGTTAGCATACACAGCCTTTTTTATTTTTTGGAGGCTTCATTATGTTGTTTTTCAATAATAACATATTGTTCCATGGAGTTAAGTCCAAAATATAAAAGAAAAAATGTGTTTTCACGACTTTACCATTCAATCAATTTTGTTCAGAATTACCTTTTCAAGATTGATGATTGTGCTATAAATTAAGAATTCGAAAATAAGGCATAAGCAAAGGAAAAAGTCAACTACACCCTATACCCCAAACGTATAAGAGAAAATCTTGCCGACGCACTAGTTGAGCTCGTACAAGTCACCAATGGAGATACATATAAACTAGCTTTATCGACCCTCTTAGTTTTACTAGAGAATGAATATTGTTATCTATAATGTATTCTAAGTTAGGTTCATGGACTTAGGCGTAGTTAGGAATCACATTAAATTTGATGGTTTAATTTATTTGTTATTATTGTGGTTTTTTGTGCCTATTAACACAAACGGGAAAAATAAAATTATTTATTATCCTTAGCGAGCATATAATATTCTCAATTTTGAAAACGCAAAAATATGTATTGAAAATTATAGTGGTTTTTAAAAAACAATTATATTTACACCACACTTTTTGTTAATTAAATCATATTTTAATTGCAATAAAAGTTTTAAATCATTCTGAATTCTAATAATTGATGAGTGACGTGTATTATATAGCTAGTTGAGCTCTGCTATACATATAGGGTCAGTGACCGACTTAAAAACAGGGGCTTCATGCGGCTTCCATTCGGGCGTTGATTTGGATGGCCCACAATTCAAATCAAAATCAAGGGCAGTCGCCACCTCTGCCCCTGTTTTTGGGTCGGTCACCGACCCTGTTTCTTTAGCCTTTTTGATAGCTAGGTTAACACAATTTTTCTGAATATTTGCATTATTTTTAATATTTTATCTAATTAAAGTGAAATATAGAAAATGTTTTGTCTATTGTTTTGATTATTTTTCGTGCAACAAACTTGTTTTAAGTTTTCAAATTTGAGAATCGTGGCCTTGTATACAATTTTATCACATGGCACTTGGCTGGGTGTTCGTGGTCTTGGGGCTGCTGGCCTACTTTGCACGTCTTCATCAATTTAGAATAGGGTAAACACAAAAACCTCCAATGCGTTAAATCGAATCGAAGCAATGATTTTGAAAGCGTTGGTTTGAAATCCCGTGATTTAAATTTCCATCGTTTCACATCAATCCAAATCAATTTTGACATGGTTCGATTTAAGTTTCGATAGTTAAAAATGACTTGAAACCGAACCATATTATTGACCCTTTAGAAAATTTACTTATTTTACTCGAAATATCAATTTATAATTCAATAAATTTACTTGCTAGTCGACTTGAATAAACTCTTTAGGGAAATAATAATTTATTTACGTTAGTACTTTTTTCTCTAAAGAATGAAATTGCAAGAATAAGTTACATTAATTTATTGGTTTAAACTTGTTTATATTGCGACAAATATTATTTTTGTAACGTTCATGTTTATAGAATGTTTCAATTCAAGTGTTATAGCGAAATTTCAAATCAGTATATTTATTTTTTCACTCATTCGAAAGATGTTATTTTATGTTGCTAAAACCATAGGGGAGTGTTTCTTTTATCAAGATTTTTGACAAATATATTTGACAAAAAATTTCAATATTTAATTTAAGTGGATCTGACGGACCACTTTTATTTCATTCAAACAATTTAAAATTTTCAAATGGGTCCATCCAACCCCAATTAGGTAAATACTCTCCCTTCCCTCCTTAAATCTTGCTTATCCTTTTGCCATGTGATTCTCTCTCTCTCTCTCTCTCTCTCTCTCTCTCTCTCTCAAGTTCGTTTACCTTTATTAGAACGACATTATTGACTTTTTTTGATTTTAAGACTCTTCTCGAATAAGTTTCAATTCAAGTGTTATAGTGAAATTTTAAATCAGTATATTTATTTTTTCACTCATTCGAAAGATGTTATTTTATGTTGCTAAAACCATAGGGGAGTGTTTCTTGTATCAAGATTTTTGACAAATATATTTGACAAAAAATTTCAATATTTAATTTAAGTGGATCTAACGGACCACTTTTATTTCATTCAAACAATTTAAAATTTTCAAATGGGTCCATCCAACCCCAATTAGGTTAATACTCTCCCTTCCCTCCTTAAATCTTGCTTATCCTTTTTGCCATGTGATTCTCTCTCCTCTCTCTCTCTCTCTACATATATGTATATGTATATATATTTACAAATTGAACTTGTAATACATGAGTTATATTTACATATTAGTGGGTATTTTTTTTTTTTTTTTGGCTAGATAGAAATTGAAATGGATCCACACTTTTTTGAATTTTCCAATTCATTTAAAATTCACTCCTTGGCCCAAATAAGAAGCTAATCAATGAATATAGATTTCAAATACCTTACTGGAACTCAAATTGAAGGTTCCAATGAAATCAACATGAGCCATTTTTAATAATAGTTCATATGAATATGATGATTCTGATAAAATCAAGGAAGGGAAGCTGAAATTATTGGACAAAAATAACAGAGACCAACAGAAATTAAAAGAATTGAAAAACAGAGAAAATGAAGGAATCAGGATAGGCTTGCTGAATAGCAGGGAAGTAGATGAACTATTTTATTCAATCATGCTTGAGGAAAATACAATGCAACCTATTCTATTTATAGAAGAAATAGCTAACCAATTATCTAACAAACTAACAATATAACAAAAATAAGAAGATACTAGAATATGCTAGAATCTGAAGCTGGAAGAAGGTTCCATGGTGATCTTCATGTGCAGGAGGTAAGCTGGTCTTGCTGTTTTGGTGAGCTGAGTTTAATATTCCATCACTCAGTTTTCTGATTATGTTCATCTCATGTCCGTTCCGTCATTTCGTCGAGCGTCTAGTGAGCCAAGTCACTTTCCTATTTTCTGGTTTTCTGTGTTTCTGATTTTGGTTTTTTTTTTTTTTTGGATAGATTCAATTTAGAAAAGAAAAAGAAGAAGGTGAGAAGGATCAGAAACCTGCTCTGATACCATGATAAAATCGATGAAGGGAAACTGAAATTATTGGACAAAAATAACAGAGACCAACAGAAATTAAAAGAACTGAAAAACAGAGAAAAATGAAAGAACCGGGATAGGCCTGCTGAATAGCAGGGAAGTAGATGAACTATTTTATTCAATCATGCTTGAGGAAAATACAATGCAACCTAGTCTATTTATAGAAGAAATAGTTAACCAATTATCTAACAAACTAACAATATAACAAAAATAAGAAGAGACTAGAATAGCTAGAATCTGAAGTTGGAAGAAGGTGATCTGCTGTGCTGCAATTCCATGGTGATCTTCATGTGCAGGAGGTAAGCTGGTCTTGCTATTTTGGTGAGCTGAGTTTAATATTCCAACATTATGAAAGAATGTATAGTGCATATATATATATAGAAAGAGAGAGAGAGAGAGAGAGAGAGAGAGAGAGAGAAACTCTTTCCATCTCTATATCAATGTATAGCATGTGTATAGAAGTGAGAGAAAGAGAGGAGGAAGGGGGAGGCACAATGAGGGTGGGGTGAGGTAGTGGAATGGTGTCTGATTCGGCAAGCTCTAATAAGAATATCTAAACCATTTCATCAATTTAAATTAAGAGTTGAGATTTTTCAAATATATTTGTCAAAAACTTTGGTAGGTGGAACGCTTGCCAAAACCATAAAACCAAATTAAACATAAAAAATAATTTAATTTGGTTTGATTTGATTGGAAGTTTCTCAAACCGTGTAAGTGGGCCGGCCCAATTCACAACTAAGATTCGTAAAAAGGGAAGAGTTCAAAAGTCAGGGATTAACTATGCACAATTCAAAAATCAGATTTTAATTTTAACTAATGCAAAAATCAGGTTTTAATTAATTAATTAAAAATATTTATTAACTAAATATAATAAAATCATAGTTATATAATTGATGGTCACATATACACAATTATATCAGTATACAGTGTATAAAATTTTATAATTGATCATAAACTATTTCGAGGTCACAGATCAAAAATTTTGTCCGTCACAGATTATTTAGAGATCACAGATTTTTAAATTAGTTGGTCACAAATTATTTTTAAGTCACATATTAGGTCACAGTTGAGTAATTGGTCACAAATTACCAAACATTTGGTCACAGACTATGGCCACTTTCGACCACCCTCACCAAGCCACCACCGCCACAACAACACCAACAAAGCCATTAATAACCACCTCCACCACCAATCACTTGCATATTACCTATTTTATAGGTCACAAATGTCAAACATCTCCAACAGAAACGCGCCCACAGTCCACACCTCCACCTTCTCCATTTTGCAACCCACCAATAACAACTTGCACCACTACCATCACACCACCAACACCGTTCTTGGGAAGCAAACTATATATTACAATGTCAGGGAAGCAAAATTACATATACTACAGTTCGAGGAATCTAAGTAACCGATACACATGTGAGACACAGACCTTTTACACCAGTAGGAGTGTCAGTGCATCGTGGAGAGAGGACTATATGATAAAAGCTGGGTATATTCAAACCCCATCAAGAAGTTTGCTTCCATGAACCCAAATATGATCTTTTTCGCATTCCACTAAAAATTCTTTCTCGTATCAACCTCAATAGTTGCAATCTCGAATAAGGTAGTTTCAATTATGCCAAACTAGTCATTTCTCAGATACAAGATGATAATATGCCGATGAGCAATAAATGAAGAGGCCCAAAAAATAACTTTCAGTATCTAAAAGACTGGGAGAATCACTTGTACTGTAAGAGAATTCTGGGTCCCATTTTTGATTCATCAGTACCCTAATTTTTGTGTTTGCTGGTGAGGGTTCCAGCATGGCTTACAACAAATTGACTTGGAATGCTCCTAGCTCCCCATCCGGCCTTGTGTCGGCAGCGGTGGCTCATGTTTTTGCCTTGTTTATGGTTGTTTCAGTCAGTGCTAACGTCTCTGGCGGCCATGTCAACCCTGCCGTCACTTTGTTTTGTTTCTTGGTGGAAACATCTCTCTCTTCCGAGGTATCCTTTACATCATCGCTCAGCTGCTGGGCTCTGTTGTTGCTTGTCTTTTCCTCTTGTTCTCAACTGGTGGACTGGTAAGTTTTTGAAATAAGAGAATTCTGGGTCCCATTTTTATTCAACACCTGACCCACCAAAACCAACGCCTCACCACCACCGCCATATCCAACACCACCTGCACCAACACTGTAGCACCACGACATCTGCCACCATCTCAAATCCCTAAACCACCCTAAAATCACCAAAAACTGTAGATAGTTCAATAGTAGCCTCGTAGCGGCGGGAGCTCTTACCTACTGTAGCGATGTGAGCTCTAACATACTGTAACAGCGGTGACGGTGATGCCTCTATCGGCTCTCACGACGCCAGCTGTGAGGGGAAAACACAGCAGCGGAGCCGCTGCCGACTCTCACAACACCGGCTGTGAGGGGGAAACATCAAGGGGTGTCTCCGGCGGCGAGCACTTTGTCGGCAACGACGGCTAAGGGTGAGGGTAGAGAGAGAACACTACCACTATGGCCACTTACGACCACCCTCACCACCCTGCCATCGCCATAACAGTACCAACAAAGCCACTAACAACCACCTCCAGCATCAATCACTTGCATATTACCTATTTTATAGGTTACAAATGTCAAACATCTCCAACAGAAACGTGCCCACAGTCTACATCTCCACTTCCATCTCCTCCATTTTGCAACCCACCAATAACAACTTGCACCACTACCATCGCACCACCAACACCGTTCTTGGGAAGCAAACTATATATTACACTGTCAGGGAAGCAAAATTACATATACTACAGTTCTTGGGAGTGTTCGAGGAATCTAAGTAATCAATACACATGTGAGACACAGACCTTTCACACCAGTAGGAGTGTCGTGCATCATGGAGAGAGGACTATATGATAAAAGCTGGGTATATTCAAACCCCATCAAGAAGTTTGCTTCCATTAACCCAAATATGATCTTTTTCACATTCCACTAAAAATTCTTTCTCGTATCAACCTCAATAGTTGCAATCTCGAATAAGGTAGTTTCAATTATGTCAAACTAGTCATTTCTCATATACAAGATGATAATATGCCGATGAGCAATAAATGAAGAGGCCCATAAAATAACTTTCAGTATCTGAAAGACTGGGAGAATCACTTGTACTGGAAGAGAATTCTGGGTCCCATTTTTGATTCATCAGTACCCTCATTTTTGTGTTTGCTGGCGAGGGTTCCAGCATGGCTTACAACAAATTGACTTGGAATGCTCCTAGCTCCCCATCCGGCCTTGTGTCGACAGTGGTGGCTTATGGTTTTGCCTTGTTTATGGCTGTTTCCGTCAGTGCTAACGTCTCTGGTGGCCATGTCAACCCTGCCGTCACTTTGTTTTGTTTCTTGGTGGAAACGTCTCTCTCTTCCGAGGTATCCTTTACATCATCATCGCTCAGCTGCTGGGCTCTGTTGTTGCTTGTCTTTTCCTCTTGTTCTCAATTGGTGGACTGGTAAGTTTTTGAAATAAGAGAATTCTGGGTCCCATTTTTTATTCAACACCTCACCCATCAAAACCAACGCCTCACCACCACCACCATATCCAACACCACCTGCACCAACACTGTAGCACCACCACATCTGCCACCATCTCAAATCCCTAAACCACCCTAAAATCACCCAAAACTGTAGATAGTTCAATAATAGCCTTATAGCGGCGGGAGCTCTTACCTACTGTAGCGATGTGAGCTCTAACATACTGTAACAGCGGTGACGGTGATGCCTCTGTGGGCTCTCACAACGCCAGCTGTGAGGGGAAAACACAGCAGCGGAGCCGCTGCCGACTCTCAGAACACCGACTGTAAGGGGGAAACATCAAGGGGTGTCTCCGGCGGCGAGCACTTTGTCGGTAACGACGGCTAAGGGTGAGGGTAGAGAGAGAGAGAGAATATGAAGAGATGCTTTAAGGTTTGTTTGGGATTAGGTAGGTGGGTATAATATTTAATTATTAATTCAATACCTGATTTTTGATTAAATAAAATTCACACCTGAATTTTGAATTTGAATAATTAAATGCCTGATTTTTTGTAATTTCCCCCGAAAGAATATGCATGCCATTTTCATTTTTTTTTTTTTTTGGAAAATTACACAAGAACTTGTTTTTAAAGTTCCGTTTTCAAAAATAAGATTTAAAATTTTTTTGTACAAAAATAAGGCGATAGTACAATTTTTTTTTTATTTCAAATAATAATATTATAAAACTAAATTAATCTAGCTACCTACCTATCTAGCCCCACCCCATTTCTCTTCAAACGCATTTTCATTTTCTTCTCCATTCTCTCTCTATTGTTACTCTCCATTTTCAAATGCTACCACCTGACATTGTTTTAATCAAAACGGGCACTAAATATATTAAACTCAAGTGCAAGAAATGAGGTAGGTGAGGAAAAATCTGTGAATCTCTAAGTTGGGTGGATTTGGGGAAGAGAAAGTACGAGAGGTTAAATGGGGGTGGTGTATGGGAGATTGATGAGTGGATTTACGTAAGTGTTTAGATACTCACGAGGAAAAATGAAGACAAGAAATGATTGAGCATTAAGAGTTCTGATTAACGAAAGTGTTCGTCAGTGAGCATGCACATCGATCTGAGTGTCGTACATCGATGGTACTCAAGTTGCTACGCTTTTGAGGTGATTTTCAGATATGCTACATGGCCAGTGTTTTGGGATGGTTTTGTGCTGGTCACATGTTTTTTGAGTGTATGTCAAATGCTGGTGGTGCCACATGTGGTGATAGGTCACAGGTAATATGTATCAGGTCACAAGTCATTGTGCATTGGTCACAGACACATGTTCACAGGTCGCAGATCAAGTAGAACTGATCACAAGTCATGTTTACATGTCACATATCACACTTCACAGGTCACAAGTCATATTGTATAGATAACAGGTCAATATTAATAGGCCACAAATCAAAATTAATTGGTCACAATCATATGTTACATATTTTTGTGCATTGATAACATGTTAAAAATTCAAGTTCACGGGTCACAATTCATTAGTTACAGGTCACATATAACAATTCACATGTCACAAGTCATATTGCACAAGTCACAAATCAATGTTCACAGGTTACAAATCTAAGAGAACTGGTGGCCATTGAATTAATATCACATGTAACAGTTTACGGTCACATGTTATAGTACATAGATCACATGTCACAAATTCAAGAGAATTGGTCGCACATCATTAATTTATCCGACCTCGTTTTGTGATTGTAGTTTCAAAAATTCTGATACACAGTCGATAACTTCCAATTTGTGACCTCAATCATTCGACGGGTTTCAATTAACCAGATTTTGATGGTGAGAATCGAAGTTATTTGCTTCAGCAAGTTCTTTATAGATTATCTCTTTGTTTGATCTTCTGATACAGTGTCAACAACTCTCAATTTATGATCTCAATTGTTTGGAGTGTTCAATTAACCAAATTTTGGCGATAAGAATTGAAGTTATTTGCTCCAATAAGTTCTCTATAGATTCAATCTTTGTTTGATATATAATATATATTAATTACCACCCGAGTTTTGAACTTTTAAACTTAGTTTCTTAAAAAATAAAATGTGATGTAGTAAACGCCCGACTTTAATGTATTATTCCCCCTTTTTTTTCTTTTTGAAAATATAATATACTAAAAATTTTAAAAATCTCATGTGAAATATTGCTCAATAAACATGCATTAAAGGTAATTTTTTGGGGTTTTAGAGCATTGTGCATTGTGTGGAGCAAGAAAAGGGAAAATCTAAAGCCCATGTGAGATTCCAATTCCATGGTATAATTCTATAAGCATTGAGTATCACACACTCCCCTCTCACCTTTAATCTCTAATGAACATAATTGTTATTCTTTTCTCACAGTTGGGGATACCCCACAATTGTCGATAACATGCCATTATTCCTAATGGACCCTTTTGTATGCACACGGACCATTATTATGGACCGTCAATGGTCAAACGAAATTGATCATCAATTAATCTACATGTGGTGGTGCTTCATGGTCCTTGGGACCTTGTCTATCTTTGCCAGGACCACTACCATGAAAATCGTGAAAGATCATTCATGTGTTTTGATCCATAAACTTGAAGAGATACTGTGGATCGAAGTGTCAAAAAATCAAAACAAACAAAGAGCGAGAGAACTTTGGACGAGAACAGATAATGAACATCCATTAAAGGATTGGTCACGGGGACTCGATGCATTAAAAGATGTATATTGAATTAAAATGAAAATTTTCATAACAAAAATAGTTTTAAGAATATAATTTCTAAATTAGTAAACATGCAAAACACTTTTAAAAATTAGGTGCTATGTGATTGTAACCTATACTGATAAATTATTGTGACTTATAAATTGGGTAATTGTGATTTAGTATGATATCTGATTGTGACATATTAGTTTGTTATAGTGTAGAATGTGACTTAATTTGTTTTACTGTGACTTTTTAACATTTACCACTATGTGACCTATTAATTTGTGTGTGTATGATATGTTACATTATATAAATGTGATCTATCAGCTTGTGCATTTGTGACCAATATGTTAATTTAAAAAAAATTGATGTTAAAATTTTAAAAACATGATTTAAAAAATTTTCTCTAATTAAAATCCAATTAGTATGTTTCATTTCTTAACTAAAAATTTACATTTCAAGAAATAATTGGTAAATAAGTAGGTAATACTTGTAAATTCTACAAAATGTGTGGTTAATATTAAAGTTTGACATCGAAAAGTAAGGGGTTGTTCTCTTTGTATTTCAGTTTTGTGTTTTGAGTTTTGAATTCATTTTGAGTTTTGTGTTTTGAGTGTTCATTTTGAGATTGTTGAAAACGTATTTTTTTTTATCATTATGAAAAATTATTTTGGAAACACTCAAAACACGTTTTGAAAATTTTAGCTTAATTATAATTGAAAACACCCAAAACGACATCCAAAACTTCGAGTTTTCTTTGTAAATTTTTAATTTGTTTTCAAAAACGCATTTTCGAAAATAGAAAAGAGAACGCGTTTACATTATTTTGAAAAATCGAAAATAGAAAACGGTTTGAAAATGGTAAAGAGAATAGACCCTTGCCTTCCAGTAAAGAATAAAATCCCAACAGATGCAATTTGGTTAAAATAAAAGAGAGAAGAAAAAGAAAAAGCAAGAATAAATTGATATTGAAATTCCCCCTTTCTTTCAACAAAAAATCTTACGTACAAAGATACATGCATAAGCAAAGTCGTCCGTATGTACTATTCCTTCCTTAACGGTTTTCCCCGTTTTACCTGGACGAGATAACCTGGATTTGATAAACAAAACAATCAAATTTTCATAACAAAAATAGTTTAAGAATATAATTTCTAAATTAGTAAACATGTAAAACACTTTTAAAAATTAGGTGGTATGTGACTGTAATCTATACTGATAAATTATCGTGACTTATAAATTGGGTAATTGTGATTTAGTATGACGTCTGATTGTGACATAATCTATAAGTGACATATTAGTTTGTTATAGTGTAGAATGTCACTTAATTTGTTTTACTGTGATTTTTTAACATTTACCATGACCTATTAATTTGTGTGTTTATGATATGTTACATTAAAAAATTGATGTGATCACGTGACTTTTTTTTTTTTTAAATGTTAATTCTAATGAAATTAAAATTTAAAAAACGTGATTTAAAAAATTTTCTCTATTGAAAATCTAATTAGTACGTTTCATTTCTTTACTAAAAATTTACATTTCAAGAAATAATTGGTAAATAAGTAGGAAATACTTGTAAATTCTACAAAATGTGTGGTTAATATTAAAGTTTGACATCGAAAAGTAAGAGGTTGTTCTCTTTATATTTCAGTTTTGTATTTTGAGTTTTGAATTCATTTTGAATTTTGTGTTTTAAGTGTTCATTTTGAAATTGTTGAAAATGTGTTCTTTTTGTCATTATGAAAAATTCTTTTGAAAATACGCAAAAACGACAAATTTAAAAATTTTAGCTGATTATAATTGAAAACACCAAAAAATTCAAATTTGTTGTTTTAAGTTTTCTTTGTAAAATTTTAACTTGTTTTCAAAAACCCGTTTTCAAAAATAGAAAAGAGAATGTGTTTTAATTATTTTGGAAATCGAATACAGAAAACAATTTGAAAATGGTAAAAAGAACCTACCCTTACCTTTCAGTAAAGAATAAAATCCCAACAGATGCAATTTGGTTAAAATAAAAGAGGAGAGAAAAAGAAAACGCAAGAATAAATTGATATTGAAATTTCCCTTTTCTTTCAACAAAAAATCTTACGTACAAAGATACATGCATAAGCAAAGTCGTCCGTATGTACTATTCCTTCCTTAACGGTTTTCCCCGTTTTACCTGGACGAGATAACCTGGATTTGATAAACAAAACAATCAGAACGGTACGACGTCGTCTGCGCAAGCAAAATCACCGGAGTTTGCAATTGAATCCTCCGGCCACGAGTTACGAAGCAATTTCAGCAGCATTTGGGCTTTTCGTTTTGCTCTCTCTGTGCAATCGCTTTGAACGAGTAGTAGAAGCTGAGTTAACACGCCGGCAGACACCGCCTCTCGCTGAGCCTGCTCGGATGCCGAGCATATAGAAAGAAGGGCACCAGCAGCATATTCCGTTGCACGGTCGGAGATTTTTAGAATGATTCTTACTAGGAGTGGCACTGTTAACGCGTGGGCAGCGAAGGATGCGCAGCCTGATGATATCCGGCAGAGTAGTTCCACTGTCGCTAGTGCCCTCTCTGCGTCACATTTCTCGAACTCCACCAGCCTATTAATCAGCGCCGGCACCGATCCGGCGGTGACAGCCTTGTTACGATGTTGCTTCACAAGGCACAAAGCGAACAATGCCTTGATACTGATTTTCAAAGCCCTCGCATTTGCCAGTGGACAATTCAAAATTCCAACAATACCTTCGAATATTCCATCAACATTGCTAATTTGTGCTCTGAGCTCCGCGGATCTTACTCCGGCCGTAACAATCTCTATCATCGCAGCCGAGTTTACTTGGATATCAATGTTTGAATGGAATAGTAATTTCACCAGGTATCCAACTCGATCCGAAATGGTAGCCACGTACAAGCACTCTGCCTCAGAGAGTGAAATCATAGACAAAATCGCAAGCGATTCGTGATTCAACTCGGACGAGTTGGAACTAACATCTGAGAACACAATGGAAAGAAGAATCTCACGTCCATTATTTGCAACAATTACAGCGCTATTCTTATCCGAGTCACGAGCAAGAGCTCTTAGCTTCCTCAGAGCAATGAGTCTCAAATTGAACGCAACAGATTCAGATGAACCCTGATTCAATAACATCCGGACCACACACGGGTCAGCGGGTTGTTTCGGAGTTGGAATCCGCTCCACTCCAAATGACCGGTTCGCAACACACCAATCCTGAATAAGCCGTCTGAGAGTGTGATTTGGAATAAGGCTAAAATCTAAAAGAGGCGCGCGGGTAACTGGACACGTAATATTCCCCGTGGCCACCCACGACTCTATGCTGGAACGGTCGTACGTCTGACCGGTACAAACCGTCACCGGATCACTCATCAGCTCCAAAGAAATCGGGCACCGGAAGTGATAAGGGATCTGTAAACCAACATCCAATGGCTCTAAACTCCCAGGCATGTTAAATCCTTCCTGTCCCTTGTTCCCCAGTTTTGCTCTGTGTGTATATATGGTTGATTAATATTTATACATAAAAAACAAAGAAAGACTGCAAATTCTCTTTCGATTTGTTAGGGGATGAGAGAGAGAGAGAGAGAGAGAGAGAGAGAGAGGCTGTAGGTTTTTTCTTCTATCCCCGCACGTGTATTTATTACCTTGGTAGCCGTGGGATTTAACCATGGGGGTTAGGGATGGGACTTTTGGTCAAAGGAAATGTGGAGGGGTCCATTTTCCTGCTTAAATCTAACTCATGTTTAGATCAGTGGGAATTTAATGGCCCTGATTGCTTATTACTGTTCAAGGTTGATTCTACCTAAATGGCCCTTTTTTTTGGCACTAATGCCCTTATTGTATTCCACTCCTGCATTTCAATAATGTTGGTTGCTTTGCACTGTTTGGGCTCTAATGAATTTCGAGGGAAAAATATATTTTGAAATACTGATTTTTTTAAAGAATATAGTGGTTGAAAATGATTTTTGAAAAAAATGAGTCGAAACAGGTTTCCCTATTTAATTTAAATAAAAATTAGACTTTCAGTAGATTTTGATAAAAAGTTAATTAAATGTGTGATAGAAAAATTGTGCATCTCATGAAAAATGTGATTAAAATTAAATATTAATTTTAATCAATTTTTTTAACTGAATTAGACAGAGATTTGTTCTTGTGTAAAATTTCTAGAACTTATTATGACTTGATATTATGAGTATGTTCGAGTCTCATTTTTTTTGCCCAAAATGCATTTTGAAATAATATTTTGATGGAGAATGTGTGGTTAAAAAATAAGAAAAAAAATTTGGATTTACCTGGTATTTTATTGAAGAATGTGTGTTTGAAAATAAGAGAGAGAAAAATGTATTTTGGAAATAATGAAAACCAAACAAGGCCTATATCAATTTACTATTCACTAACTAGCATATTGACTTCTATTGGTGTGGGTATCAATTACTAGGCCATAAAATTGGGTAAATTATTAAGATCCAACTCCAATATGTGGATGATGACCAACTCTTAGAAAAGTTTCAACCAATTCTTAGAGAAAAAAATTCAAGATAATATGATGTTAGACCTAATTCAAGATCGTAGATAATGCTAAAACGATAAGAGCTCGATAATTTTTCTTTTGGGATGGGAAGGGATTTCAATTCTCTTACTCTAAAAAGGAAAATTGAGAGCATTTATCGAGAAAAAATCACGAGAAAGTATTTACGGCAAAGTAGAAAGTATTTATGACCATCATCCCAAGGTTGCTTTCAACATAAATCCCGAAGTAGTAAGACAAATGATTATGAAAATTGCCCACCCTTTTAGGGTTAGTCTCCCAATTCAACGAAAGGTGGCAAAGGAAAAAGAAAAAGTGGACAGGTAGGGGCATTCAAGTGCAAGGAAGGGGAGTTGAGCAAGAAATTAATGAACAAGATATTAATAAATATTGGACGTTCAAACCTTAGATTGATAACATTTATGTTAGGCTTCATGTTTCTATGAGAAATTCAAGTCAAATCTCGTACAAACAACTATATTTGGGGCATTCTAGGCAGATCCATTACTACGCTTATTCAACTAGCTGGATGAATTTAGTGCTGATAAGCTAGGAAGATTGATTTATATCTATAAATTGCGTTACAGGATATCAATTGGATTTGACTGATAAGTTAGGAAGATTATGCTATATCTATAAATTACATTACATGATATCAATCGGATTTGATCGATCAAATCGAGCAACCTCTTCTTAAATTTAGACTTGGGCCCGAGTTTCCTCCCTATATAAGGTGAGTCTATTATGCTCTAAACCACATCCATCTCTTGTAATCATTCTATCATGTTTCAACGGTTGACTTAATCGTCAGAGTTCAGATGATCACTGACGATGACTTTTGCACCTTGACGGTTTATTCCATCTTGCAAATAATGCGTACGCAAAAGCGAAGTTGGTCCGAATTTTGGTGGCCACTCAGCCAAACAGATTTTCAGTCAACAAATTACATAAAATCTTTGAAATAAAAACAAAAAAGAAAAAAGAAGAAGAAACTCCGTTATAGATTGAGGTGTAAAACGTTTACGAGTAGGGGTGTCAACGAGTCGAGTCAAGTAGCGAGTCGAAACTTTTTGTTCGGGCTCGGCTCGAGTAAAAATACTTCGAGCTTTTTTTGGCCCGATCCAAGTAGCGCAAAAGCTTGGCGAAAAAATTTAGGCTCGATCCTAGCTTTCAGCTTGGGCCTTAGCGAGCCGAGCTGGGCCCAATTTGTACAATTTATAAGTATTATAAATAATAACTAAATACTAACACATAAAAAAATTACAGCTAAAATGAAAAGAAAAAATAAAAAATTAAGAAAAAGAACTGACATGCAAGTTTTTTTTTTTGGGCTCACGGTCGGCCCGTCGAGCCACATGGAATGGCCCGGCTCAAGCCGACGCCCAAAAAGGACTCGGCCCGAGCCTCGACTCGGCCACACCAAGTCACGAGTCGGCCCGATTCGTACTTTTTCCAAGTCGAGTCAAGCCGGTGAGCCATTTTGCCATCGCTATCTACAAGTCTTCTATTCATTTTCAAGATTACATCCCATGGGCTCGGCACATTTGTAACCGAGCTCAACTAAGGTCGAGTCTCGACTATATAGGCAGCGTGTTCCACAACACGGTCTGACATGGACTTAATCATAATTAAAGTTGTTCGATTTAAAACCTATATCTGGGAGTTATTGGGGATGTTAGTCAAAGGTGAAGGATGAAGGGAACGTGCGAGGGCCAGGTTGTCTTTCCATTACAACCTTAATAATCAAGCCAGAAAATCTTCAGTATCTGTCTTGGATAACACTAACATATAGATGAGTCGGGGTGGGGTGGGGTGGGGTGGGGTTCTTGAAAAGTGGGACCCTTTGTCAAGTCATCAACGTTGAATAAGTAGGTCCCTCAACGATGAACCCCTTTAACGTCCCTAGCAATTGAATCGCACAATTGGAGCAGAGGAAATCTGTTTTTGTCCATCACACGCTACCCTTCACTCTGTTTTGAGGAGAATATCATCAACGATTATGTTAGATATAGAGATTGAGCATACAAGTCAATGTGTTTGAATTAAATCAATCCCATTCCCATTGCATAGACGAAAAGGTTAATCCCCTTTTTGATTAAAAAAAAAAAATTAGAAGATTTCGATAAAAGTTAATAAAATGTGTGGTCGAAAAAATAATAAATTGTGAGTTTCATAAACTGTATAATTAAAAATAAATTTGAAAAAAAAAAAGGAATTTTAAATAATAAGAGGCCAAACCAAGGTAAAAGATATTGCAATCAATGTCATCTCGTACAATAATGATCACACTTAAAGGTATTTTTTTTCTACATTAGCATTCCAAGTACGTCATAATTTACTCAAACGGGAAAGTCCGACCTAATCATTACATATAAAAAAATGCCTCGTAAAGCCAATAGGACTCGTAATTTACAAGTTCAAATTTATAATATTTATTATTTAGAATCAAAATAATGATCGACAAACTTAAGCAGAACATGACATCATAAATAATAAACCAAACCTTAAATTAATTGTATAATTCATTATTATTTACACTTTTGAATTCTTTATATATATATATATTTACTAGTATTCCCATATCAGCATTAGTGTGTAAATTGGGGAAGCAAGCCTAGTTGGCTTATGGATTCGGCCTATAAAATTTGCAAATAATTGAGTCTACTTTATACCTGGTTTGGCCATCATCACATTCAGCAATATCTATATATCTATTTGTAAATCCAATGTGGTCCATAAAATGTGACGTTTTCCAACTTTTATTGGGGAATTAAATTACAATAATTCCTTTATGTGATTTTGGTTGGTCTTCCCGCTGCAAAAGTCACATAGGTTAGTGGATTGGATTCGCTTTCAAATTTTAGAAAAAAGTTGATTTGATTTTGTTGAAGGGATTTGTATTTGTTTAGGATAATCACCTTAATTAGCAAGGTTTTGTAGCAAATTTTCAAGTGTCGGTGAGAAAGACAAAAATTTCTTTGTTTGTTATCGCATTAGCCCCTATTCGGTTTGGTTAAAAAATAATTTTTTAAGTATATTTTGATAAGAGTTGATAAAACGTAAAATACGTGGTTAAAAATGAATTTGGAGAAAAAAAGTTTTAAGAAATGGAACAAAATGTATGATTGAAAATAAGTTGAAGGAAAGAATTGAGTTTTAAAAAAATTGGGACCAAACAAGGAGTTAATATCATGCACCAAATCTTCTCCAGTCAACGATTTATGTTAGAGCAGATGAGGATTTTCTAATCAGCAAGTAAACCTCATGAAGCCAAATGAAAGCAGTAAAAAATTGCAACATTTTAAGGTAAAAACGTAAAACGAGGAAATAAAATTTGTATCCTTCCCAATTTAACAATCCCATTTATATGAATGAATGAAAAGCACTATGTCTGCTACAATCCAAATTCTACAGTATTATTATGAGCCAAGTGTTACACTAGACACCAATATTCAATCTGCCTCATATTTGCAATTTGCAAATGCAAAAGAACTTGACACCAATTTCACAGTTCCTTAGTCGTGATGTCATTCTCTAATGTACTTCCTCTTACGGTATTGAAACGAACGAGCTTGATATGGGATCCAAATTTACCGTCACAAGATGACAGTAAGAAACAAACCAGCCAACCACTGCAATTTAAAGGAGGGTCTGCTATCAAATATTGCAAAGCTGGTTTCATTAATTGGAGTTGCGCTAGGGGCGGGGCTTGCCTTGGGTAGTTCGCATGCTTCAAACGTCATGTTTTCCTGCACATCGTGATTGTAGATATTTAGACTATTAAAAGTGTTCGTACTGACATCAGTGAGTTTCGAACTCAGAAAAAGTCTTGGAGAAAGTTTAAACCTTGCAAGAGGCAATGGTTTTACAACCACAAACTAGGTGACCGTTTGCCATATCTACGGCTTCAGGTGCTCCTCCGCCATCACTTCTCTGCGTGGTTTATGCATCAGAAATTCATGCAAACTTGAAAAACAGCAGATTTTAGTTGATCTGTATAAAATTCTTAAAACAAAAAAATTACCTTGTAAAAATCAACAGCAATGAAATTGGGCCATCTTTTTCCAGCTGCTTCATAACAGGTGTTCATCATGCTAATTAATGGGGCTGAATTATGTTTGCAGGCAGTGGCCTCGACTGGGTTATCGGGAAAATAGTTCATCAAGACTAGCGACCTTGTTTTCGTGTTCATACTAGATGATTCTGCTCGGTTGGGACATGATCCAGCTATCATTCCACCATTGCCATCTGCAGGTTCAGAAACCAACTTCTGAGCGAAAAATTTCTATTCAGAAATATCATCTAAAATCTTAATCTAGAAAAGGCAGCTCACATTGATTTTCTACCAAGTATTTCCATTCATATGCAATGCCTTCTGATGATTCCTTGTAGCTTTTAGAAGTGAAGACTACTAATCGCTGATTCTGCCTGACCATGTCATCAACCGTTGGCCACTCTCCACCATTTTTTGGCATCCGAGCTGCCGGAAATAAGAATTTACTCAGGCCAGAGGCATTAAATGCCCTCGTCAGGCCGTTAGGAGATGTAACATAATCTTCAATGATAATGGTGATAACTTCAAAAGTGTTCGCTTCTAGAAACACTTGAACCTCTTTCAAAACATTTATGGCAGGTTGCTGGCAATCACAATTTAGTAGATTAGCTTCAAAGAATACAAACCGTTAACTAATCGTCGGTGCTTCAGACAAAGACAAAAGTATAAAAACCAGTTTAATTATAGCTTATATATTCAAATACAAAACGCTACTAAGTAAGACGGGGAAAATCTGATCTAGCTGCTATGATGACATCTGAAAATTGTGGGAAAATATGCTGTATATACCTAAATACTCAGTCATCCAGGAACGAATAAGGAAAGGGTAATTTTACCATCATTATGTGATATCATATTGACCTCATATACTTACAAAAGCTGTGTAGTTGTAGCATTTGCCGCCAAAGGAGTGGCATAACCAGATATCATTGTTGAAGTCATACATATCAAGCATCAACCCTCTAACACCATTCTGCAACACAGATGTATCCACGAAAGCCACTCAAATATTGCATAATCAGCAAAGATTCATTGTATATGAAACTTCTTAGGAATCTTTTAACTAGTAAAACAAACGTTCCAAACAAAAACTGGATTCATAATGAACATTACCAACAATAAATTAACATATGTCAAAAAATGCATGATAAATCAACAATTGCAAAATTTCCACCCAAGTTCAAATTTTTTGTCTTAGAACATTTATTTAAGCTGTTCTCATGAACAGGATCTGTGGCAGCACAAATATCGAAAAAAATTTAGATGGAAGTAAATAATCTGGACAGTAAACTTACAATTTACAAAGAGGTTTTTATTATGCTAATATTGCCTCCCCTCCCCCACCCCACCCCACCCCACCCCACCCCAAAATAAACCCCATCCCCTTTTTATTGACCACTGTAGCATAGAATGACCCGACTGGGCACCTCCTCAACCACAACAGAGTCTGAACTGGACTAGCAGATTCAGTAAGGTGCTCTGACCCGACTTGACCCCGACTTTGACCCTGACCGAACCTTCACTTGACTCAACCTGAAGAACTGACCCATCAACCAAACTGAATGACCTGAAAATTTACCAGTGAATTAGTCCTCGGAAATTTCGCTGCAGGAAACATTGTTTTTGGACATCAACAGCCAATGACC